TACACACAGCCACACATCTGGGCTCCTCCAAGCCGCTGCCCCATGCCACCCCCGTCCTCCTCCCCCTGACAAACTTTTCCATTATTGTTATTATTTTTTACTTTTGAGATAGGACTCACTAAGCTGCTGAAGCTCGCCTCCTACCTTCCGATCCTCCAGCCTCCACTTTCTGAGTCACTGGGATTCCAAGGGTGTGTTCAGCCACCACACCCGGTCCAGCCCATCTTACTCAGGCCCAACTCAAAAGTCACCTATCTGCAAACATCTACCTTGAGGTGAGGTTCTTGGCCAAGCTCCTATTTCCCTCGCTAGCATCCCTTTTTCAGGGCTCCCCCCTGGCCTGTGCTTTCTTCTCCATCCGCACTCTCTCGGGGCTCCCTACGTCTAGTGCTCGCCTCTAATTCCCATCCCGGCGGGTGAAGGGGTCCCAAACATGAGTTTGGAATCACAGAGCACTAGGCTTCCGTGTGACCTTCTAGAACTACTCAGACTCTCTGAGCTCAGTTTCCTTCCCTGTAAAATGGGGAGGACAGTGGTGCCTACCCCCTGGGGTCTTCCCTCAATGGAAGACACTGTTGTCACTCTTATCTCATTATTACTACATTGTGGCCATTAGGTGCCTGTGTGCCCCATTTTCTGGGAAGCCCTCATGGCAGGGCCCAGGCCCAGCCTGGCCCCATGTCTGGGCAGCCAGCAAGCACATGGATGCCTGTATCAAGTGCTGAACTTGTTCTGGGGTCAGCTGGCCCCCTCCCCCTCTGCCACCTGCTGCCTGGGGAAGTAGCTCCAGAATTGCTGAGTTTAAAGCCAAAGTCCTCCTCCCCTAAGGGGCTCTGACCCTGGGATTCAGGCGCCCAGCCAGGGGAAGGCCTCAATGTCACCATGGTAGGTCAACTGGTTAGGCAGGTCACAACAACCTCTCTGTCTCCCAGGATTGGACTGGATTGGGGGCCTGCAGGGGGAGCATGAGTGTCTCTTGAGAGACCCCTGGAGAGGTCCAGGGAGGAGAGGAACCTGGGGACATGGCAAGGAGACAGACGAGGCCTGCAAGATAGCCCCTGGTTCACCGCAC